CACTGCAGTGCTTTCCCCATTTGGAGTATTGTATTGTATTGTTTTGTGTTGATCAAGATGGCCACCAGTCAGCTTTCCTGTTTGTAGTGTCACACAAATGATCTTAAAGGGAAAGGTGACTGGTGAGCCATCTATAAATAACCGATGTAAGGTTAGTTGTTTTGTTTAAGTGAATATATATCAGTTGCATGACTCTGTTAAAATGTATAAGTTATTTTGGGATGGTTAAATACTTTATTTTGATCAATCTGCCCATCTCTGTTAACATAAATAATGTGAGCGAGTCCCTTTAAGAGGATGGTCCTTAGAAGAGGATGGGCTATAAAAGGGACTGGGAGAGCTCAGTATGGAGGAGGGTGCCTTGGAGGAAAGGTATGGAGAGTACTCCTATGAGGGTTTTTTTTTTGGTTATCCTTATTTTTTGGCAATAAATCCAGTTTTGTTTGCATTTGAAGACTGCTGTGTGGAAGTTTCTTTTCTTTTGAGCCAAACCTGGTCACTTGGCCAGGTACAGACACCTTCTAATAAAAAAAACTACGATAGTGTAAAATTTGTCCTTTAGGAAGAATTGCCCTTCATTATAATGATTCATACAATTTCCTGCAAATATTCACTACACATTCCTTAAAACACTTCAGATACACTTAAGGTATATAAACTCTTCGTGTAAACATAAAAAATGCTCTAAAAGTATTCTCTCTACAAGATAATGAATTAGAAACCTCTGCCTTGTCTTGTATTTTTTTGGTCTATTTTCACATATTTTTAATTAGCTGGATGTTAATTTGACTTTCACTTACAACAATTCCTTACACTTAGTGCATATAGCGCTGTTCTGAATACTCCATTGAAGGTGCTTTATAGTAATTATGACTCACCTCCACCACCACTAGTGTGCAGCCCCACCTGGATGACGCATTGGCAGTCAAAGTGTGCCAGTCCATCACCACACACCAGCTATCAGTGGGGAGAACAGAGTGATGAGGCCAGTACATAGATGGGGATTATTAGGAGGCCATGAAGGTCCAATGGGAAATATTGCCAGGATGCTGGGTTAACATCCGAGAACTGCCCTGGGATTTTTAATGACCACAGAGAGTCAGGACCTCAATTTTATGTCTCATCTGAAGGACGGTGCTTTTTACAGTATACTGTAGTGTCCCCATCACTGTACTGAGGCAGTAGGACCTACACAGACCACAGGGTGAGTGCCCCCATACTGGGCCAACTAACACCTCTTCCAGCAGCAACATTAGTTTTTCCTAGGGGGTACTCCCATCCAGGTACTGACCAGGCTCACCCCTGCTGAGCTTCAGTGGGTTGTCAGTTGTGACTTGCAGGGTGATATGGCTGCTGGTTTAAGGTCTTATGTTCATGTTATTAAATTGATGAACTATTTGGTTTTATGACAGGATACACTTGAAAATCCAACAGGGGTGTAATTATTATTCAGAAGTCTTTCTCAACTTCTCATCACAGTTTCCTTTTTTTTGGTCTAGTTAGTTAATGAAACAGCTTTCCAAAGTATGTTTCTTGAGCTGTATGGATAGTTTCCTGGAGGCCCACACACCTGGTGGTTTGCATTCAAGCCAAGCTTAATTAAAGCCTTAACTGAACTATCTGGTTGCTTAAATGGAAAATCTAGTTCTACTGAAAAGTTTGGAATGTTATTTTAATTATGAAAGACAATTGTTAAGAGAGAACCTCCAATATGTTTAAGAGCTCCAAGTAGTCAAATGTTTCTAATTAATACTGTTTTTACTGTTAGTTAAGGGTTCAAGTGTACAACTACAGTATGTAATGGTAATTGTGTAATTATGGGACAGAAAACAACATTTAGCCTTTAGGACCTGGACTGAGAACCCCCACAATTATCCCTTTTAAGATTGATAATATTTTTTTCATAATGCTGGGCTTCACATAATTCATTCTATGAACCTACTGTATGAACCTTGTATAGTAAGAAATGAACCCCAATAGAGAATACATTTCCAGCCGATCATTTAAATTTGGTTAATAGAGAACATTAGGATACCCACAATTTCCATGAATCAAGATTATATTTGAGTAATATTGTATACTGTATATTGGGCTGTGATGGGATATATGTATTTTTGTTTTCAGGCTGCATAGAACATAGTTACTGTCCATGTCAATCAATAATTTGGGTATTTTTGAATTTTAGATGTTCAAAACAAAACTGAATCAAATTTTACCACCTGGTGAGTACAGGGCTGGAAAATTAACTCTTGAGGCATGTTGTCCTTTGAATCAGTTATTAGTTAATGTTCTTGCTGTGTCAGAAAAGTTACTAATCCTCCAAAAATGTTTACTAGAACACAACCCGACACATGTGCCAAATACATGTGTTTTTGTGAACTTCATAAGCTTTGTTAAATGTTATAACTTATTTATTAGTTCTACCACATCGGTGTCCTCAGTTTGCACACAAGCTAATATTGTTTAGTTGGCATTAGCTCAAACAGTAGGTTGGATTAACATTACTGTTCATATGGCAGTTTTGACAGGAGGGTGAATTAATGTACTGTAAGAAGAGTGACAGAAAGTGACAATTGATTCCAATTATTTTATTCCTATGGAAGTTACAAATCTCCATGCTCCTACTAGCTAGTTCGCCCCTGCACAAATTGATTGTGCCTATAACAGGGTGAATTTTTCACCGTAAGACCATGATGTAATTCGTTACAGGAATACATCATGGTGAACAGTTCTTAGCAGGGTAATACAGAGTTTGTCCAACTTTTATATTAATTTGACCAAATGAAAGCTGTGCACTTTGCTTTTTATTTTTTCAACATGAATTGCTACAACTTACAGTATGTATGTTATCTGCTTATGAATGTGTGTATTATGAAGTTTTTCATGTAACAGGTCAATCCCCTTTCTTCAGAGAACCTTCCTATGAAGCTCATCTGGGTGACTGCTGGTGGACTGCTCTTTTTAATGGCAACAATGGCTCCAACCTTCATCTACTTTGTCAAGTTCAAACACAGTGCATTTCCCTCTTTTACTTAAACACATCTCCAGGATTGCTTTCACTAAGGATTCTGGGCTCAGTGTATGACTGAAAAAGAACTATAGTTTGTTATTAAATAGTTTAGTGTCTCTGGGACAAGGAAGACTTGAATTTTATTGAATTTTCCATTCAACAATAACAATATCAATAATAATAATAGTACATTTACTGTGAAAAGGTGGACCTTTTATTATTTTCATTAATAAATATGACTGAAAAATATTACCCTGTTTTGTTTAGTATGTCAAATTTTTATATTGAGTTTGTTTTTCAGAGAATAAGATACAGGAAAGTGAAAGGTGAGTCAGCTCATTGTATTCTCTGTGCTACCTTTACTGTTCTTTGGCAGTTGCATCACCTGATTTATTAGACAGCTGTAATCCTGACATTTCTTTCTGTCTTCTTTCTGTCAAAATACAGTTGCTGGCTTCTTTTTTTTGTAGTGATGTATTCATGTTTCTAGAAATATCTCTGTGGTGAATCTTCATTTTCTGAAAAATAAAGAACAGTTAGCAGCTTTCATCTTTTCTGAGGAGTAGGTCCACTAAAGCCATTTAGTAAATCAGGTTTTTTTTTTAAATGGCCATTTTGTTCTTTTCTATCAATTACCATCCTCAATTTACTCTTGTTTCACAAGGGACTGTTGTCTGGTATACTGTAATGAGTATATTAATATAAAACCAGTGAATGGCCTTCACTTATAGAATCTAAATTAAATCTCTAACCCTCCTGCCCTACAAGATTCTCACAAAACCTCTTGTCACTTTACAAGATTGTAGGAGAGCTTCCA